GCCTCAGCATGGCCGGAGAAGCAGCGCGTTGGTGCGAGCCCGGGATCCGAACCCGGGTCACCAGCAGTGGAGCGCGCTCACTTAACCACCAAGCCACGGGGCCCAAGAGTCAGATTTGTGTTTGATACTGCCACTTTCTATTTGTTTGACCATGGACAAATAATTTAGCCATTTTAAGGCTCAGTTCTCCCTCTATTAAAAATAATGACCATCATAGTTATTTTGAAGCTCAAGTGAAATAACTTATCTGAAAACTCCTTAACTGTGAAGTGCTTGTACATTTTTATATAGTAACTATTGTTCAATTTTTAAACAATAACATAGATTCTAACCTTAAAATCCATTTCTAATATGACAGCAAACTTTAAACACTCCTGACATATAATCAAATTAAGAATTTAGTTTTCCTCTTTCACCTGCCGTTCATGGATACTATATATTAAAATGGTTGTGTATGGGTGTTGTCCCTATTTCTCATCTTTCAATCCCTTGCTTAAGGAAACTAAACGATAGAACATAACAGCTTTGTTCTCTGTGTCAGCAGAGCATTACAAAGCCCTGAAAGAATGTTAAAGCAGTTTCAAAATACTATTTTTAGGTACAGTATCATCAGGAAATAAGCTTTCACTGAGAGATTTTGAGAAAAATAGTACTTGAAAATCAGCAGCTGAAGTAGCAAAATGAATGATCTTGCATTAAATTTTAATACTCAAGCCAATATTGTTAACAACAAAATAAAATATTCTTTCTCCAGGTTGAAATTATCCAATGATGAAATCAAACGGGCAATTCTAACAATGGATGAGCAGGAAGATCTGCCCAAGGACATGTTGGAACAGGTGAGCTGCCAGACGTCTCGGAGCACAAGTGACAGCTGACTTTCAGCAAGAAGTGGGATATTGAGAAAATCTGGTTGTTGTTGGTAGATGATTTCCTTTTCTCTGAATTGCAGAGGTTGAACCAAGGTTCCATGGAGCTCTACGAGGAGACTTTATGACTTTATTCTCTCGTTGTTCCTCAAAATGATGAGTGAGAAGGAAAGTGACAAGTTTTTCAAATGCTTGAGACCCACAATGCCAGATTCTGTCCCTCATGCTGCAATTAAGTTATTATGCCTTAGTAGGTCATATAAATCTACTAGCTTTAGTGGAAAAATCTATCTTTCACAGGAATATCGAGAATCTCTGTAGCACTGTGAGATCCCAGACAGGACTATGTAAACTGACTCATTGCTAGATCCTTAATACAATTTGCATCTTGGTCTTGGCTCACCATTCCCACAATCACAGAAGCCACTGAAACCCCTAGTATTTCGATCTACATTGAAATACTCGTATGTGTCATAAGGTGGGGCAGAAATTTCTTGGGGCTAAGTCTTGTCTCCGTAAGTTGTATGGCACTCCTCTTATGCCATAAATGGCAGTGAATTCAAATGCCAGGGCTAGCAAGTACACGATACATTTACACGCAGTCAGTACGCAGCCTTGTCCCTGGTATTTGGGGATAATTGTATTTTCCGTGGCCAGGCAGCAAGTCAAGTGTGGTGCCCCAGCCTCTCTTCACGCAGTATTTCTATGACGTGCTCTGTGTAGCTGCTCCAACCATGTTATGTGGGGTTCAGCAGCTTCGTTCACTTGTCCCCGAATGACAGTGTTGTTGAACTAGCAGATATTCCAGGGATTATCTTCTGTCTCTTGGTCTGGGCCTAAATTTGTCTGTGCTTCATGGAGACAGTCTCGAAATGCTCTAAGACTGTTCTGTCTGTCGTCTCATTGTCCTTGGGATGGAATCATATTTTGATCAAGAGGCCCAGGTTTGTTAGAGCCAGGTCCACCTAAGGTCAGCTGTGGACACAAGCAATCATGATTCTGGGCTTAACTTGAGGTCTCGTCTGTAGGTGTGCTCAGCTGCCAAGAGCAGAGGAAAAGGATATTTTGCTCCACTAACAGTGATCCTGGGTGGTGAATTGGCTCCGGGTGGAGGGTCTGTTTGTCCAGATGAGAATTTTCCGTGGTTCTCATTGATGTCCTAAAAGGCTTCAGACACAAAGCAGGGAGGAGCGATGTGTGCAGTGTCCCCATCCCTACATGAACCTGCCCCTCCCTGAGGCCTCTGCATCAGCAGTGGTCCTCAGTGAAACCCTCACACTTAGCAGTAGAAACACTTTTCATGCTGTCCTTTTAAGGCTTGATTTAGTTATCAAAATTGTTAATGACTATGTTTTGAAGTCTGTTAGGATGCTCTGTGTATGAATAGTTTAAAAGTAATTCCTAAACCTAAAATTCATTTCTTAGAGCATTTTATAGCTCTTCTGCACACTCTTCCCTCCCTCTCTGAACACCAGTCAAAACAGAGTCTCTGCCCCGAGACAGTGGAGCCCAGCCTCCCATGCCCCTCCTGGCCCCCAGGTGACCCTGCACTCTAGTTGCCTGCATCAGAAGCTGCCCATGCAGATGAAGAACCATGCAAAAAGCTGCTTTAGTCCTTAGCCCTTCAGCCTCTATCGACAAGGTTGTATGTTTAAAATTCCACAAGATCTGTTTACTGTGAAATCGCATCCAGCAAAATTCCTCCTTCAGGGAAGGGATTTCAAAATCTTGCCAAAAGGGCTTGCAGTGCAAATAGAATGTACTTCAAATAAATACAAGTAAGAAAATCAGTCTACTGAAGCAGAATCTGGCCAAGCATCTCCTGGTAATTCTGTGTGTCTCGCGCTCTGCCCATCTCCCAGGCTCTTTCTCCTCCTCCGTCTTCCCCCATCTTCCCCCGCCTCCCTCTGCTTCCTTCTCCTTCATACAGCACTCTTCCCAGACGAGCGCTGGAGCCAGCATCTCTTCGCTATTTGTGATCTGCATTTGAGCCACATTTGTTTCCTCCTCTCCTGCTGCTTTTATCTGCTGAGCTCAGATCTCAGATGAGATCAATACATGCCTCTTTCTTGGAATGCATACCTTTCTGTTGTTCTCAAGTGTTTGTCTAACTCTGCGTTCCTCCCCAAACTATCTATACACAGTCTGTTACTTGGCTCTGCTTTGAGAAGGACTGAGCCGTTAGCATGTGCCTCTTACAGTACTCTTGTAAGTGACAGGAGAGAGAGAGTGGTTGTGTTATCCTGAACAGGGGCCTGTGGGCTCTGCACGGCTAGGGGGAGGGGCAATCCCTGAGACTAGGACTGAATGTCCTTGCCCAGTAGGTAAAAATCCAAACCAAGTAGGAAAAACAAGCCTTTTCCTCTCCCTCCTCCTTCCTTCTCCTTGTCCTGCCACCCACCGCATCCCCTCCTCCCACCTTGCGCTGAGGAAGAGCAAGAAGACACTTGGCCTGCCCACTGTCACCATTTGAACATGGAACATAAATGCCTAGAAGCTATTAGGCCACGGCCCTGTGAACTCCCTGGCATCAACTTCCATCTTTCTCCCCTCCCATCGCGTTAGGAAAGAGGGGTGTCCTTTGCTCTGGCCCATCCCTTCCTTCTGCTCAGGGACCCAGCCAGATTGGAGGACTGTGCCCCTCTCCTCCAGATTTTCCGCCTCTCCCTCTTGACACGTAACGTGTCCAAGTCCCAGCCTTCCACACACACACACACACCTCTCAAGACTGCACATCCCCATCTAGCTATTGTCCTCTGTCTTTTTTGACACAGCCAGTTCTTGAAAGCTTGTCCACACTTGCCTCCTGTTCACTCTTCCTCAACTCACCGCAGTCCATCTTCCTCACCTTCCTAAAGCTGTTCTCACTAAGGACACACACCCTCCTTGTTGCCAAAGCCAGGGGACACTTTGCAGTCCTTTTCTTCCTTGATTTCTTGGTGGGGTGTGACACTGATGGCCACTTGTTCCACGATGAGATGCTTTCTTTCTTTGGCCCTGTGATACCACATAGGCCCCTCTGTTGTCTCCTCTGAAGATTCCTCTTCTTGTCCTCATCCCTTCCATGCTGGCTTCTCTCCTGCCCTGCTTTTTCCCTCTTGATGGTTCCCCTGGTTACCTCACTCCCATCTATGCATTCAGTACCCTACCTCTTATAACAGGCACCAATGCTTTGTCTTCCAAACAGAACTCTTGAGGATTCTAGACCCATTTGTCCACTTGCCTCCTAGAAATCACCACTTGGTTCTCTTGTCAGGATTTCAAGCACTAAATTCACCCTCTCTCCACCCGCCCTCCTCTAACCTTCTCTTCCTGGGTTCCCTGTTACACTCTTGTACCTTGTTGCCTAAGCCGGGAGCCCGGACCTCACCCTTTTGACTCTCATGTACCACAATCCATCCATCCACCAGCAGGTCAGGCCAGTTCCATTCAACTCCCCTGACTAGCTCTAGAATCTGTCGACTACCCAGTCTAGGCCATCATCCTCTCTCACCTGGATTAATGCACCAACTGTCTAATCACAACCCCTAATACTTTTGATCGCTTCTAATTCTTTCTCCATTCTGCAAGCACAGTGATCTTTTTCAAATGCAAACTTATTCCCCTACTTAAGATTTTAAGTTACGGCCCAGTGCCCTCAAAATAAAGAGTGAACTTCTCATGAGGCCCTTGCTACTCTCTGACCTTGCCCACCTCTACCCCCGCCCCCCCACTGCCATTACAGCCACTCTTCCACCTGCACAAATGCTGTGCTGCCCATTCCAGACCCTGGCACGTGATACGCACTCTACCTGGAATGTATTTCCAACCTCACACCATTCACCTCCTTCCCTAAAATTCCAATTCTCTTTCTCTGCTGGTGGCAGCTAGACTGACTGCCTTTTCTGAGGTCCCTTAGTTAGATCCAACAAATATTTGAAAACCTACTAAATGGACCACCCAATGCCAGCATCAAGTTATACAGAGGATCTCAGGGTCCAGAGGGTCAGTGTAATTAAAAAAAATATAGATCCAAGGGTATTTGATGTAGAAAAGAACACACAAGCACAGGCCTGTGCATACACCTACTCATGTTTGTGCCTTTGAAGAAAATCAGAAATATACAGAAGTACTTTTTCAACTTTAAATGTTGTTGCCATTTCTTCCACATTCTATGTTCATTTCTTCAAAATAAAATATGGAATCAAAACCTTCAAATCCCACTGCGTTCCTCTCATCCAACTCTACATGGAGCAAAAAATGAGATGGAATTAGATAAGCCAGGGAGAAATCAGCAAATTGAATGGAAAATGCACATAGAATTACTCACTCCAGCATGATATAGAAAAAAGCATAGTGCTGGGAGTCAAGAGTCTAGGTTCTATTTCTGACGATTACACGCACTTGCATTGTAATCCTGGGTGAGTGGCTTAGTCTCTCTGGACTTGGTTGTATCATCTTCTCATGAGATTGGTCTCCAAGCTCCCTCTGATAGTCTGTGCAAAGTGGGTCCTGGTAAAGAACTTCCGCAATTCTGATTTGAGAGGTAGTGTGGAACAGAAAGGTGCCAGGAATGAAGCTTATACCAATTTAACTACTTTCAAGTAAAAATGGAAAGATTTATTCATTTCTATTGAATCTTAATAATCACATGTGAGCAGAGTTTATAAATTAAACAAAAATTAAAATTTCATCTTGGGACAATTAACTGAAAGGGTGAAAAATTGCTACAATTTAAATTATAAACCTCAGTTTGAATATTTTTGTGAATTTTTTAGCTCTTGAAATTTGTTCCTGAAAAGAGTGACATTGACCTGTTGGAGGAACATAAGCATGAGCTGGATCGGATGGCCAAGGCTGATAGGTTCCTTTTTGAGATGAGCCGGTGAGTTTGAAAATGCTTCAAAAGTAAAGATGCCGCTACCTTTCTAAGGAAGTTAAACTTTTGATCCATGTTGAATTGTTGGAGACAATTATCCTGGCTTAACTTGAAGCCTTTTGAATTCCAATATCGTCTCAAGTCTGAGATGTGTGGAATTTGACTGTTTATGTGAGTTCTTGCCCGTGGGAGCCAGGGTGAGGGTTTCTTCACAATTGTTTCTGGGCCTCTTTGACTCCTGTGTTTTGACCTAGTCAAGTCATAGCTTTTCCTGGTTCCAGTCATTGTTGTTCTCCTCACCACTTTATTTCTTGGGATTGTATCTCACTCTTGTACCTCAGCGTATCAAGGTTGTTGTAAAATAGAAATAAATGGACAGACTTGGCGATGTCAACCTTGAGCCCACATAACCGAACAGCCAGGGTCTGGATGTCAAATCATGACATGTGCAGACATCACTAATCGATCATGGCACTCTTCCCAGGAAGCCTTGGCAAGCTTTCTCAACCCTTCTCCAGAAAGCCCTGAGGCAGCCACTGCTTTGTAATTGAGTTTGGCACGCAAGCTGAGTCTATTTGCCATCCCAGGCCTAGCGAATTGATTCTGCATTAGACAAGGACCAGTGGTCCTGAAACTCTCCATCAACCCCGAGGCAGAACTCTTCCCCTAGGTACCAAAGGCTGACAAATGTAGCCCAGGTGAACATGCCTCTCACTCTACGTTTCAGCCATATCCAGACTTATTTTGTTGTTGTTCCATCTTAACTCACCATTTTGTACACTACTGTAGGACGAAGGATGGTTTTGAAATTTAGACAGATGTTTGCAGCCACCCAATGTGTAGACAAATAGATGGGCATCTGCAGTAGCTGCCACTGGGTAATTGTATAGATCTTTGCATCCTCCCATCAGCCCTGCCAGGAGGGCTGTGAGACAGGAAAGTATTCTCTTCCGTCTACTGGAGGAGGGAAGGTACTTGTTCAAGGTCACCTAATAAGAGAAGCTGGGCTACAAACCCAGGTCTGTCTGATTATACGGTATATTTTGGAGGAAGGGCTGATCCGCGGTACTACTGGACTGAAGTTTCCACCATAGAGCAGGTTAGGCAGTGATTGCAGAGGCCTGGGTGAAAATGCCCACCCTCACCCCCTCAGCATCACAGAGCAGCTTGTCTTGGTGGTGATCAGAGGCCAGAGTGCATTCCTGTTATCTCCAGTGCTAGTTGCTAACTTGGAAAGCAGAGCTTGCCAGCCCTGAGGGGAACAGATAGGAGGCAAACTGTGAAGAGCGAAGAAGGTTTGGGGCATGAGTGAGGAGAGGAGGATGAGGAGACAATGCTGTGGACAAGTTACTCTACAGTTTTGCCAAAGGCAAACTTTGTGGAACATTACGAAGCGTGGGTGAAGTGCAGGAAACAGCCCTTTATTTGTAGCAGAATGGAGAGTCTTCACCTTTTTATTCCTTTTCATCTCTTTGTTCCTAAGAGCTACTGGGACTCGGAGGAAGGGAAGGGGGCTTTCTATACTCAACAGCAGCCAGCTCTCCCTTTCTTTTAGCAGTTGCCTAATCTGATTGGAGCTCAAGACCCTGCTGCAATTGTTCCAATACCCCCTGTAGGTCACAGAGAAAGGGCTTTCCAGGTGAAGATGGCCTCATGCCCTGTGCTCCTGTCCAGGAGAGGAACTGTGCACATGTGCGTGCGCACATGCACGTGTTTCTGTGTGTGTGTTTGAGGGGCTGCTCTAAGGTACCTCCACCTCCATGTCCGTCGAGTGGACATAGATGTATTAAGTAAATGGTTATTAATCCATGCTTGCTCTTACAGAATTAATCATTATCAGCAAAGATTGCAATCGCTGTACTTCAAAAAGAAGTTTGCAGAGCGTGTGGCAGAAGTGAAACCGAAAGTAGAAGGTAAAGTCAAGCCACCCAGACTGGAAATGACATTCGTCTTAAGTGCCCCTTTACAAGTACGGTCCAAGTGCATGTAGTGAACAGGATGCCTTTGGTGATTTTTTGCTCGAAATCTTTTGGAATTCTGATGGGTAATTACTTAAGGTCCATGCTCGGCTCGCTGGCCTAGCCTGGATTCTGGAGCTCACGGCACACCTCCTGGGCTCCTCTGCACAATCGGGCTTTTGACATCCTGGGTGTTGGTGAGGAATTTATTTGATCACTGCTGGCATTAAACCTGTAATTAGCTTTCTTGCAATGGGGCCTTACTAGATTTTTCTAAGGGAAGATTTGAGGCTCTTATATGGTTTGATTTTGAGGCTGTTAGATTTTTAGATGTTTGAAATATGGGCAAGGCAACTAAGGAGCACAGCCACAGAACATAGGCTAGGACTTGGGAAATTGCCCCGATCCCTGGTGACACCTGCAAGCTGTAACATGTAACACAGTTTTTCTATCAATGGAAGTGATCAGTAATCCTGTTGATCTGACTCACACCAGGCAAGAAAGTGTCTGCAAAGGAATGTGGGAAATGCAGTTGCTGTCGTATGTATTCCTAACTGCTTGCCGTTGATGAGTCAGCCAGGGAAAGGGCCGAGAAAGGATGGGACTATGCGGCTGTCTATGGCTCTCCCTGTTTCCTGGTTCTTTGCCTCTGGTTGAAGTGTTTTGAAAGTGCTCCCTGGTAACCTAGCAACCCAATCTTACATCTTCAATATCTGCTGTTAGGTGTGTGGGTTTAGGATGGATATCACTGGAAAGTCGTGGTTGTAATAGTTGTGTTTTTCTGTGTTTTGAAGCGATTCGTTCTGGCTCAGAAGAGGTGTTCAGGAGCGGTGCCCTGAAGCAGTTGCTAGAGGTGGTTTTGGCTTTCGGAAATTACATGAATAAAGGCCAAAGAGGCAATGCATATGGATTCAAGATATCCAGCCTGAACAAGATCGCTGACACGAAATCCAGTATTGATAAGTAAGTATACTTGTCAATACTCCAGTATACTGGAGGGTCCGAGCGCTTGGGACAGGGCTTCAATTTGTACCCCTTGGTCCTCCTCGGCCTCACGATGCTGTGGTCTGTGGTTTGCACTGCTCTTTATCCTTCTCCGACATGGAGCCCTCTCTGACCTCTCTCACAACCACAAGTACCCCAACTTCCCATTGGGCCAATTATCCATCATCCATTTTCAGTCTCCAGAGATATCATCTAGTCCCAAGTTTTTTGTTTTTGAGTTTTCTTGGGTAAACTTTTTATTATAGTGTAATACTCTAAAGTTTACTTCACACAGCTTGATGAATTTTTATAAATTGAACACATTTGTATAACTAGTCCTCAGATCAAGAAACAGAACCTTACCAGCACTCTAGTAGTCTCCTCCTGACCTGTCCCAGTCACTACCCCTCCACAGAGAACCGTGTTCCAGGGAAAAGAAAGAAAACTAGGGGGCCAGCCCCGTGGCCAAGCGGTTAAAGTTCCATGTGCTCTGATCCGGCAGCCCTAGTTCGCAGGTTCAGATCCTGGGCGCAGACCTACTCCACTCACCAGCCATGCTGTGGAGGCACCCACATACAAAAATAGAGGAAGATAGGGCTGGCCCAGTGGCTTAGTGGTTAGGTTTGCACACTCCGCATCGGCAGCCTGGGGTTCAAGGGTTCGGATCCCAGGCACAGACCTACACACCGCTCATCAAGCCATGCTGTGGCAGTGTCCCACATACAAAATAGCGGAAGATTGGCACAGACGTTAGCTCAGAGAAAATCTTCCTCAAGCAAAAAGAGGAAGATTGGCAATAGATGTTAGCTCAGGGCCAATCTTCCTCACCAAAAAAAAAAAAGAAAGAAAGAAAGAAAAGAAAAGAAACTGACAGCTGATGATAGAATGTGAAGCTAGTTGGGTTTTTAGGTTATGTTTTCCTTTATGCATTGAAGCTAGCAGCTATATGAAAAAATTGTGATGTGTAAATGTGTTTTGGCTGTTAGTATTCAGCTGATCATTCCAAGACTCATTACAATGCTTCCTAGAAAGTGCTAGAGACACCGAGATGTGAAAAGGCTCTGCTGTCACTAACAGGTAGGGTCATTAGGCACATTAGCTCTAGTTTCCCTGAGAGCTGTGTTTCTCTGAGGTTCTCACTGACTTCAAAGGAACCTGCACAATTGTTTCTAAGGTCAACTTCTCTGTTCCCAAATTCTTTTTAGAAATATGGGCTGTTCACTCTAATTATGCCTAACTAGTGAAGCTTTTTACTCTATGTTTTCTATAGGGTTAGTGAAGCATACATAGCATATGGGAACCCTGAATCTATCCTGTAAGAAATAAACAATGTGTTAAGTTGTGGGCCTAAACCTTATTTTTGCACATGTAGGGATAGATTAACGAAGGGCAGCTGTTAAGTTGTGTCACTGCCACCTGATTTTAAGCACTTGATCCTTTGCAGAGCACTTTCACATGTGATTGTCACAACAGCCTGCGAATGCACAGGCCAAGTGCTGTATTGCCTGTTGTCTGATAAAGAAACTGAGGCAGGATCAAGTGGCTCATCTGAACTTGCCTAAGGTCACAACAAGCAAGGTCTTTGGCCTTGCAGGTATTTGACACCTGTTCTATTGGTCTGTCCACAGCTCTACTCTACCAACAGATGGGTCTTATTTGTAGGTTGTAATAGGTAATTGTAGCATGTTACTTGTGTATAAAGAGCAGCCACTTTTTGAAGGAAGGGTGTTCTCTTCTACTGGGCTTGCAGGTTGAAGGAAGAAAAGCCTCACTACCAGTCAGTCCTGTTATCTCTCTCGCTCTCTCCCTCTCTGACACACACACAAGCCATTGATACCCTTTGCCCCCCTCAAACTTGATGATAACCTGGCACTTACTGCATGATTATCTGCTTATTAAAGTTACTACAGAATTTATCTAATACACAAGCGTTTTCAAAACAATAAAAACATTTCTGATCTCTTTCTTTTTGGTCGTCTTTCTGCTTGTGAATATTTGGTACCCAAAAGTGTCTCATAAATACTCATAGTGCCTAGCAGAGTGCCTTGCTTATAAGCACTCACTCATTAAATGTTCAATTGAATCTCATCAAACTGCACAAGGATGTCAGCATGAGGGGTACATGCACTCTGCACTGAAGGCTTCTTTCTAGTAACCAGAATTATTAGCCACTGTTTTACTTTGCTGAGCAATTGTTTTCTGATTATTGAGAGCAGGGAAAATTTTTTTTACCTGCGGGCCAGTTGACTCAGAGGAATAGGATTGCATTGACTTCAATGAAACTTCAAGGGTAACCAGAAATGGTTTTCATTCTCATGGAAAAGAAAATCGTGTGTGTTTGACAGCTCTGCTTCACTTTAGTTGGAGGTGGGTGGGACTGTTGTGACTTAGCATTGTGAATCAGCAGACCGCCTAAAAATTAGGGAAATCTTTCTAAAGAAATGCATTTATGTCTTCCTGATTATGGTAGCTTTCAATAGACTAGTGGTTCTTGATCTTGGTTGTTAGAATCACTGTGGAGTTTTTAAAAATTTCCATGCCTGGCCCCACATCATTCCAATTAAATGAATCTCAGGTTGGCCCAGGCCTCTGGGGTCCAAGTGATTATAATGTGCACTGGAGTTGGGAGAACGGGACCAGACTACCACAGCTTTGCTTTATAGATAGTGTTATCAGATGCCCGCCTTTTCAACCCAGGTCAGTCAGGGTTCAGCCCTGTCACCACTGAAGAGGGAGCTGGGTTATGGCAGTTAGGAGCTGAAGTGTTGCTAAAATTAGGCAGTGGATCCTCGGCTGCAAGGATGCCTTGTTTATGATGGCACGGTCTTGGCCCACTCCCAGGCCCGGCCCTGAAATGGGAGGCTTTCTAACTTTCCGATCGCCCTTGGCTGCAACATCAAAACAAATGAGTCAGAGAGGAAAAAAGTTATCATAGAGTAAAAGAAATGTTAAAAGAATTATCAATAATTCTCATCAGTGGATTGCTGCTCTGTACTTTTAGATTGAAAAACAGCTGTCCTTTTTAGTGGATCAAACATACCTCCCTCCCCAGCCCACCCTATCCTGCTTTGTATGAACCTCATCTTTGGGTGGATGCAGTGTGAAGGTGTGTCCCCATTGACAGTGGTTCAGATTCATTTCCATCACCTATCACATTAGGTGTGAAGGATGCTCATTATGGGCCAAATAAGTAATTCTTATCCCCTGCCTTACCTTTTTAGAAGATGTATACTTCCTTTTTGACATATATTTATGTAAATCCCATGTAGGTTCTCCCCATATCCCCTTCTCTTGAGAATCCTTGCCTTACAGGAACCTCCAAATTTTGAAATTAATGCAGGAATATAGCATTCTTGTGGATCCAACCACTTGAATATACAAATCATATGCAGATATTAACCATGTTTGATACTCTTTCTTCTTTAATTATAGGAACATTACACTTTTGCACTATCTCATAACTATCGTGGAAAATAAATATCCCAAGGTTCTCAATCTAAATGAAGAACTGCAGGACATTCCTCAAGCAGCAAAAGTAAAGTAAGTACTTACAGTGAGCTGTTTTAGTTTTTTCAATCACGTGGACTATGCTTTAGCCATTGAGATAGTTAGCATTGGGTGAATAGGGTGCTTCTGTTTGCTTTCCCCTGAATAGTATGGGAAATAAAGTTTGAATCATATCCAAATCACTCAAATGTGTTGTGTGGTATTGAATATATATTTGTTCTAGCTCCTTTGGAATACCCCTGCATGCAATTTTTAACTTCCACAAAACCTAATTTTCTGGGTTATTAAGAGGCTAGGAAAGGAATGTGGTTTCACTAGTACTTTTAAATGGTAGTTCTTTTAAAATACAGATAGGAGCACCCTTAGTGAAATGAGGATAATGGTTAAGGAAGTAGGAGACCTAAATGTCAGGGCGGTGCTCACAATTCTCACGAGTGCACACACTCCTGGAAATCAAGGCAACATTTTAATGGAAAGCAGTCTTTATGCAAATGAAGAAACTAAAAATAAAATGGAAAGTGGCCAAACTGTCACCACAAACTTCACACCACTGTTCAGAGACCGAGGAACAGGCCGTTTTCCTTGTGTTCGTCCCTCCTCCTTTTGGCCCCCTTTTTTTAAAAAAACATTTAAATTGCATCTTTTTGAAGTGAATTTGAAAAGTAGGATGAGCAGGCTAACTTTTCCCCTCTTTTTGTAGAATTTGGTAGAAATGTACCATATAAGTCATGAAATTAAAATGTTAAAGTAAATGAAATATTAGTGAATTTGTTTACATCTGAATTATCTGCAAGAATTAAGTTGTAACCTCTAATGTTTAAAAGCTGTCAAATAGAAAGCATTACGAGAGGGGCCTGCCCAGTGGTGCAAGCAGTTAAGTGCCCACCCTCCGCTTCGGCGGCCCTGGGTTCACCGGTTCGGATCCCAGGCGCGCACTGATGCACTGCTTGTTGAGCCATGCTGTGGCGGCGTCCCATATAAAGTGGAGGGAGATGGGCACGGATGTTAGCCCAGGGCCAGTCTTCCTCAGCAAAAAAAGAGGAGGATTGGCAGATGTTAGCACAGGGCTGATCTCACAAAAAAAAAAAAAAGAAAGCGTTATGAGAGAAGCCCAGGAAACTTTCTCTATTAAAAAAAAAAAAAAAAAAGGCAATGAAAATGAAAACTAGCTAGTACAACTTTAAGAAAAATCATTGTTGGTTGAAATTTAAGTCAGCACCTTGTAATATGCATAGTCCCAGAGCTTTAGTGAATAGCAGTGCACTAATTATGAAGAGCACAGCGTGAACGTGATTGTGGATAAGCCAGTTTTCTTTTACTTGTTCAAAGGGAAGCACATACAGCAAGGAATTTATTTCCATATATGGTAATTTGCTTAAGTGAGATTTTTGTGAGATTGAAACATGAAATATTTTTATACAGATGGGAGATATTTCTATTCTACTATTTTTAACCTATAAAATGTACCTGCTGGCTGTGGAAAACAGAAAACATAATTCCATACCTAAATTCCATAAGTTCAAAATGTTGTCTTTCTGTGAGATCTTTGAAGGGAATTTTAAACATTTAAATAAACTAGTATGGACTTCCAAGCATGAAATATTTAAACATATCATATATTTAATACCTGTAAGTCACATGTTGGTTACTAAAATGTTGCTATTTACAACAGCATGACTGAGCTGGACAAGGAGATCAATACCTTGAGAAGTGGCCTGAAAGCAGTAGAGATGGTGAGTTTTATCTCTTGTTCTAATTCCCAGTCTCTTCACTATCTCTAGTGCTGGTGATGTCCAGCAGGTGCGTTGCCGGGACCCCGAGTTCCACCAATTTCCTGCCTGTGAGGCAGGACTCATTAAAGTGGACTGGGCTAGGTGGTCTTCAAGGATCCCCTCGGTGTTCACGTCTGATCAGGACATGCTGCTCCCTCTCAGTAGAGCAGTGGAACTTCCCTGTTGTCTTTGAGTCGCTCCTTTGGGGAGTGTTTATTGAGCAGACTCTTGGGTGTACAGCCTGTTCTCAAGGCCGGGGTCACGATGATTCAGAATCTTTCTTTCACGATGATTCAGAATCTTTGCCCTCCAGGTGTTGCAATGGCCCAGAACAATCAGTCCAGCTGACATTGGCTCAGCCTGGCCACATCCAGATAAGCACAGTGATTACAAAGGCGTTTTGAGGAAGAAGGCTGAGTTTAGGTTAGTCTGAGGCTTGTGGAATGACTGGCATGTATTAGAGGAAGCTTCTCTTCTGGGAGAGATGAACTTTGAGCTGTGGCTGAGGAGGAGGGTGGAGTAAATTTAGGTACGCAGGAGGGAGGCTGTCCCAGGTGTACGAAACAACCTCGCTCCAGGCCTCAGCAAAAGGAAAGTAGGTCAGGCTGCCAGATGCCAGAGGTAGAGGAGTCTGTGGAATTAAACCTGACTGTGGGCACAGTGCCACTTGGGTACTGCAGAAATGCTGCCGCCAGTGAGGGGCAGGTCGGGGAGGGGAAACCTGGCTCAGGACAGTGGACGGAGCTCTGGGCTGGCACTTGGTGAGGGAGACTGATTCGCAGCAGCTTGGATAGAAGCCCCTCTCTTAAGTATCTTTCAGATCATTTATCAGTAATGCCCTGAGGACCTGCCTTCTTTTCTTTTTTTAATTGCAAAACTGTGCCGTAGAAATTAGTTGACCTCATTAAAGGCAAACCTCTGATAAAAATTACAGTTACAATGTCTACTCTTTTCTGTTTGTTTTTAATAAATTAAGGAGCATGTAAGGTTTTATTTTTTCTTTTCTTGGTGGGGAGGGGCTGTTTAAAAAGAAAAGGAGATGAACTAATTGAGGAACTCTTTCTCCCAACACCGGTGGGCCAAGAGACTGTGAGTGAGCATGTAGGACGGTCCTCGGCTTTCAGAGGCCAAGCTGGATCAGGGCGGTTGGGACAAGGCTTGTTTTATAGCCTTCGCTCTGTTGCCACTTCCTCCCAGTGGAAGGCTTTCTTGAGAGGAGCCTGGCAGTTGGGACAGCCCTAAAGCCTGATAATGGATGCTCTGACCCTCGTGTCTGAGCCAGTTCACAGTAAGCGTGAGAGAGGGGACCCAAGGAAGTTTTGCGTTTGGGGTCTATGAAAGGTAGTTTTGCTGAATCTCTCCAGCCCCTGGGTCATGTACACAGTAACACACTCTTCACAGGAAAGCGGGGCTTCAATGTCAAGAAGTGGCCCTGGGAGGAAGTATGGGGATGCAGACCTTGGCCTGTCTAAGTATTCATGTCTCCTAGTTGTGCTTTGCACAAATTGATCATATTTGAAATATCAAAGATGGAATTCTTATGAAATTATACCTTAACGAAACACTTTAAAATTGCCTTTATATCTCTGCGCCTCACACACACATACGCTCACTTTCCAGGCCGTCGTACTGGAATCGTGGCAATTTCTTCCAATCAGAACAAGCTCCATAATTTCTAAGAATTTCCACTTCTGTTATTCATTTGATTCTCATGGTGATGTGGATATTGCCTTCCTTTTACAAGTGCAGAAACTGAGACCTAGGCCACTTGTCATGGCTGAGAGTCAGTGGTGGAGCTGAATCGGAACCCATAGCCTGTGACCTCTGCACTTCTGCCTGTTAGCACCTCTGCCAAGGCGATGCAGAAGAAAGGAGAGATCAGATTAAGTCAGTTGGTATACAGTGTAGTTGTTACTGAAACTCTGGAGTCAGGCAGACCGGAGTTCAAATTCTGGCTCTATCACGTATCAGCTACTTGACTTTGAGCAAAGAATTTAATCCCTCTGAACCTCAATTTCCGTGTCTGTACAATGGAGATAATAATGCCTGACTCATAGAGGTGTTGTGGGGTTAAATAAGAAACTGCATCTGGCAGTGGTTGAAATTAGTTGTTGAAATTAGATTTTAATAATCTGTGTGTTCATCACCATGGTATTGGAGAATGTGGATAATTAACAAGACATTAATACTCCTTCCTGCCTGTTCACAAAAACCAAATGGTATGGACAAGAAGAAAAATAGTAGACGATTATGGTGCCAAATGCTACAGTTGAAATTCTTCTGACCCCGAGAGCATGGTTTAGGAAGTAAGTAGACTTGGCAGAGTGAGAAAGAAGGAATAATCAAGGAACCAGAATTCTGAGCACAGAATATCAAGAGATTTTCTTGCTTTCAGTCACACACCCTTTGAATCTAATTTGCTCTCCATTATTTGTTTAACTTCTATTAATTTTGTCCAAATGCTAATCTGCTGACTTTTAAAGCTAGTGTAAGAAATCATGCTGATCAAGTACTCAGATGATTGGTGGAATTGCTGTTTGTAAATATGTGGTCACATGGGCGTGGCTCTGACACAGTGGGCGGAAGGGCAGGGGAGCTGGAGTATCACAAAATGTTTCAGAGCAGATTTTGCTGTGTTTGCCATTCTGACTTATTAAGTCTGAGGCATGTGGAAAATGAGACAAGGTGTGTCTGCATTTGAAACGTACGTTGACGTTACCCATTTCCTGTGTTGAAGGAGCTGGAGTATCAGAAGTCTCAGCCTCTGCAGCCTGGAGATAAGTTTGTGTCCGTTGTCAGCCAGTTCGTCACAGTAGCCAGCTTCAGCTTCTCGGATGTTGAAGACCTTCTAGCAGAAGCTAAAGACCTGGTAAATTTCCCCCTTGCACACTGAGCATTGTTTGGCAGGGCTGGTACTTTCAGATATTATACTGTAGCTATATTTTCATCTCTAGGAGTATGATCGATTGAAACACACCCTTCTTGTCTAACTGGCCTCTGTTCCCTTTAGGTTGGCAAGACCTTAAAGTATCTGAATGGTTAAAACCAGTAAATACTTTGATAGTTTTCTCTTAGTTGATATTGGATCCGAAATACTTATCTCGGGAAACCAGAAGAGAGTAGATTATGAAAACCAGAGGCAGGGTGAAACGTGCAATCAGGTGTGATCAAGGCCATGTGCCTCAGTAGCTGGAAGTCATGTGCTCTCCTGAGACGGAGACTTGGGAGGACAGGATGCTCCCTCTTCAAGTCTCCAGCAGAACTTATTAAATGAGATGCACTTTAATTCACAGCTTCATTGCAAGAGGCATATTTTTTAAAAAGACATTTCTTTGATTTTTGCTATTTCAAAATTTTATCTTCTTGTAAAAGAAAAATTTTCATTGACTAATAACCAAGACCTTAAACCCCCCTACCCTTCCTCTCTCTCTCTCTGGTTATTTCCTCTCCCAAAATACACATTCATATCCATGCACACCTTCTCTTGTTTTCTCTCATTCCCCTTTCACTGTTATAAGTGATATGAAGCCGCGACCCCACCCACACTGCCCATCTCTCAGTTGCCATACACTCTTTTGCTTTAACTTGAGTCTTTCCTTTGAAACTCAAGTAATGGGTATCATTTTTCCATGGTCACCTGTTGAGTTATAGATATGGATGATTGTGTATGTAAGTGTACACACACAGTGGTTCAAGTTCGGAAGTAGACTGTGTGAAGATATATTAGCTAGTCTCCACCTTAAACCCCACCTCCAACATTATTAAATAGATGGCGAGACACTATATGCTCAGATGACTGCGGTTAGAGGTCCAGCCTCTGATATCCGTGATGGAAATGAGTCAGCTGATGCCAGCAGCCTCCACTGGGGTAGCCCCGCCATGTCTTGTGTACGCCTCACCACTGGGAGTACACACTCTGGAAAGGAAGGGACCCCACACCAGACCAGGCAATATAGTACTTATTTCATCAGGGGCTCGAACATTTTTCTAACAATCAACTGGATAGTTTATTTTTGATTTAAAAACACACCCACAAAACCTACTCTTTTTTTTTTTTTTTTTTGTAGTGTGGGAACTTTAGTCTAGGACTAGTTTTCTTCAGATTTCTAAGACTAAAATATACATGACTTCATCATCAGTAGAATTCCTAGATAAAAAGATCATTCAGGATGGCTTGGAGCGCATGAACTTGAACGTTTTAGAAACTCAATTGTAGGCTGTCTGTTGCTATTTTGTTTATACCCTAACTTTTAGAAATTAGCTTATAAAACCATGGAGCTGGCTAGAGTGCTGTCTGTAGCGTGTGAAAAATGTATTTTTCTCTAAAGAGCTCTGGTTTCTAATAGAATATTTCCAAATAAGTAAAACATTGAGAACAGCTCCTCAGCAAAGAGAAAAATGGTAAAAGAATGTATTTACTATAAATTTAAAGATATGAAATAATAATTATAAAATGGCATATATATACACATATATATTACATAATCAAAAGTTGTTTTATTTAAGAATAAGTATTGAGGAGGAATTGGATGACACTAGTCAAAAGATTCCGACTTCTACAAGATAAATAAGTACTGGGGATGTAATGTATGACCTGATGACTATAGTTAACACTGCTGGATGGTATATTTGAAAGTTGTTAAGAGAGTAGACCTAACAGTTCTCATTGCAAGGAAAAAAACCCGGTTTTTTTGTATCTGTATGAGATGATGGATATTAACTAAACTTATTGTGCTAATTGTTTCATGAAATATATGTCAAGTCATTATGCTGTACACCTTAAACTTATATAGTGCTGTATGTCAATTATATCTCAATAAAACTAGGGGAAGAAAAAAACCAAAAAAATAGAATGAATATTGAAAACATTTCCTTTAAGTAGATGGTGTTACTGAAATATCGGGAAAACTTAACAATATAATAAAGGCAAGTAATGCAAGAAAAATAAAAGCAATTAGAAACTTTTTGGGTGGAGGGGACTGCATACACACGTCACGGGCTATATCTGAAGAAAATTAAAGATCTGGAAAATTTTAAGTAGTTGATTAGGCATAGGGAATGAGAATTCATTTGACTTTGAAGCTAGAAACACCATCCTTAGTAGCTTAGGAGTAAGAGCATTAGATCCTTACAGAAGAAAAATTCTAACAGACAGTCTGACCTGCGTAGTGCATGAACGTAATTTGGATAGTCATAATGATGCTAAGACTCCTGCAAGCGTTCGGTCTCAAGTTATGAAGATAACTGCCAGAAGAACTAAAATTAGAGACAGTTAAGACTAAAAAGACTGGAAATACTATTTTGTTACCGTATACATCTACTTTCATTTAATTTTTTCAAATTCTCCCTTAATATTTTGCATTTTAGCTGTTTTAAACGGATTTGCATTCAAAGGGGTTCTAAAACAAAGGATTTGGAATAAAATTGTATTCTTAGTCATAAATTTTAGGTTGCATTAATGATTCCATAATCAGGTATTGTTTTCTAATTAAGGCCCAGGAAATATCACGACAATAGCAGCATTATTTATAATTAGGAAAAGCATCTAGGAAGCACTGGATCCCATTTGCTTTTGATATTAACCATATGGCACCAATAAATGATATTAAAGTACTTCAAAGAAAAGTTGCAAGTACAAGTCTCCCCGCCCCTGCTGAGTTTGCTGTTAGTTTTATGTCTTGAGTGCTCTGCCCTACCATATTTTGCTTTCTTGTTTTTACTACTGTTTAGTTAATAAAAGTCATAGGAGGTAAGCATAGATGTTAAGCTGAAATGAAATGGGCAAGAATAAATGGTTTCAAATGTCGAGGAGTATTAAATTTTTTACTTTAGAAATGATCGATAGACATGTTCAGCAGCCAAAGATAAAATATAGGCTCACTAAAATCCAGCAAGTTATATTTGACTCAATTTGAGCTTTAGTCCTTCTAGAGAGGTTTGTATTTGATCATGGAATTCTCTTGAAACACTGCACCTCTTAAAATCTTTTTTTCCAGTTTACTAAAGCAGTGAAACACTTCGGAGAAGAGGCTGGCAAAATACAGCCAGATGAGTTCTTTGGCATTTTTGATCAGTTTCTTCAAGCTGTGTCAGAAGCCAAACAAGAGAATGAAAACATGAGAAAGAAGAAGGAGGAGGAGGAGCGCCGAGCTCGCATGGAAGCCCAGGTAAGAGAATGAGTCGTCGGTCAGTCCACCTCCTGGAAGTTCTGTTACTGCAGTGCCTTGGTTTTCAGGCCGTGTTCTGATGTGCTGGCAAGAAGGAGGCAGCCAAGTACTCTCCAGAATGCCGCTGGGAGTTTAAATTGTTATCAAGTTTCTCTTGGGCAATTTGGCAGTATATATCCAAAGCCTGAAAAAATATATCCACATCCTTTTATCTGGAAGTCCATTTCCTAAAAATTATTCAAAAGGAATAAATAATCATAAATCTGCACAAAGAGAGCAGCGATCTTTATAATAGCCCCAACCCGGAAGCAACATACATGTTTGCCAACCGGGCATAAGCTTACAAAATGATGTTTTTGTGATATCTTTTTTTTTGTTGTTAAATAAGTGATAATATAGCCACAAAATGTTCACAATGGTTATCTCTCTCTCTTTTTTTGTGTGTGTGTGAGGAAGATCAGCCCTGAGCTAACATCCATGCTAATCCTGCTCTTTTTGCTGAGGAAGACCAGCTCTGAGCTA